TGTATAATTCTTCACTTCATTTTCTTTTTCTGTATTCACTGATTTAAGATTCTCAATAGAAATGTGCAAAACTTCTACTTCTTTTTCTTTATCTGCTATAAGAAGTGTATTATTTTCAACCTTGTTCATTAGTTCTAATACTGGCTTTTTTAACTGTTGATTCAATAGCCTTTCTTTTTCTATCATTTCTTCTAGTTTGCCAACACTGTTCTGTTGTCTAATATTTTTATTTTCTTCTTCAGATAACAGACACTTTAAAGATGAACATTTCTCCTGTGCTTTTAATTTGCATGAACTTTCCCTATCCAGTTTCATGGTTAACATTGAGATCTCATTCTTAAGTCTACCAATTTCTTTCTTATCATCATTTTTCTCTGCCAACAAATTGTTCACTTGAAACTTTTTAACATCCAAGTTCATTTCACAGTTCATTTTTTCTATTATTAACAAGTCTTTTGAATTCTTAAGTTCTTCCACCAAGGCTATAGTATCTGTTAGCTTAGTTTCACAATTCTGAAGTTCAGAAAGCTTCAAATCTAATTTTTCCTGTGTAATTTGAAGTTCTTTTTCAATATCTGATAATTTCTCTTCAAGTCTTGTTTGAGACTCTTTCATTGTTTGTCCCTTTTTGTTTCTTAAGCCATAACCTCGCCACTCTGTAGCCTTGACCTGCCTTACAGAGGGCGATCGTTTCACCGGACAGTACCGTGCCATATGTCCGGGTTGTGAGCAGGACAGGCAGATTGGTCGACCGTCAGCTGTCCACTGGAGTGATGGACCAGCAGGTCGCGGCTGTCCAACCTGTCTATGTTTTGTCCAGTTTTTGCCCTGATTATCTGCTGCTGACCCGCTTTCTAACCTCTCCAACCGTTGGTCAAACTTAACCAGGTGAGCCAACAGTTGAGCCATCATGGTTTCCATCGTGCCGGTCCCTGTGGGTGGTAATTGTTTCTGTTCCGGCACAGAGACTTTGTCTACCGAGCAGTTCGATTCGTCCTCATACTCGGACCTGCGGATCGCTGAGTTCCTGACCTGAAGGAAGGTCAACTGTGGGTCTTTGTATACCTCCTCTTTGGAATATCTTCTTGACATAGGGGTTGCCAACCCTTCGATGAAATGGTCCCTCAGCAGGCGCGCATCTATGTCGGGTATTTTGACTTTTAAAGCTTCAAAGGCCCTGTTCATTCGGTGTGAATATTCCATCACACTCTCCGCCAGTCTCTGCTTTATACCTACAAACACCGATAGCAGTTGCGATCCCGACCGTCTCTCCCCAAAGGTCTCCACAATTAGATCTAGCACCTTATCTGGATCTGTTTGGAGGGCTTTATCGTGGCATTCGACCTCCGCCCTAACCGTCTCCCCTATACTGCTCATCAACAATCTTAATCTTTCCTCTGGAGCCATGTATCTCGAGGCCCAGGCAGCCCTGACCTCTTCACTGAACCTGTTGGTTAAGGTTGGATCACCGTCCCCGTAAAATTTGTTGATGTGGGACTCTCTGGGCAGGACCACAATATGGGTCGGCTTTTCGTCCAGGTTAGACATTCTAATTTTAATTCTTTGAGTAAAAAAAAAAGACCTTTCCTACCGTGTATGTAAGAATACTTTTCCCTGTTCCTGAATGTCCGAATTCACACCCACGAAACACAGTTATTAACTAGGTTGATAATGGGTGCCTAAAGCGGCTGGTCTAGTTGAATTCTTCTGCTCGACGACGCCAAATGTTACTACCGAGTCTATTCCACTGCTCGGCAACACCAAATGTAACCGAGTCTATTTACTTGTAGTGCCAAATGTTACCGATTTCACTGCTGACCTTTGACCAGCACACAACATCGACCACAATATAGATACTCGGAAATGCAGGTTTACATTGATCTCTTTATTTATGCTCCACATAACAATGCATCAATGGTCCACAAGAATACAATGAACCAACTGACCCCCACTGTCCTCACTAGTCCTAACATAACAGAATGCACGTGTCCATCGTTCCTATTCTCACGAATCACACACGTCTACACCGTTCAGTAATCAACTGGGTTCTCAACTGTCCTCAACTCCAATACGTCGTCTTATATATATCCCACGTACATGTAATAGTTTCCACTCGTTGCATCAGCCTGTTGAACTGCGCAGCTCTATCGTATCGCTTCCCAAAATACGCCTTGGCTTTGTGTTCGTTATCAGTCTACCATCTGCACTATTGCATCAGACTGTAATACGTTGTTAACCATAGTCTTTAGTTGACAGACTGTATTGCGTTCTTATCGTCCCTAGTAACTTACACTAGTTACATATATATATATATACATCATATATATATATATATATATATATATATATATATATATATATATATATATATATATATATATATATATATATACATCATATAGCCTACACATACACACATACACACATACACACACACACACACACATATATATATATATATATATATATATATATATATATATATATATATATATATAGGTTTAGATTTGTTGAGGTGGAGATATTGGTTTTGCTTTAAAAAAAAAAAAAGAAACACTAATGTCTTGTATGTAAATATTTGTTTTTATTTTAACACAGTTGTGTAACATTTCTTTAAAAATGCTTAGGTCATAAAATGACATCCTACAATACGCTGTCTGTGTTTAAATTGTAATTGTTGTGTTGGAAATGTCAGCCATAGTTTTGGAATGATTTTCAGAGAAAATGAATAAAGGTCACGTAAAGATAAAAAATTTATCTCGAGATGTTTCAAGCAAAGTAAGGCGTTATCTCCTTCTATTTCACAATAACAAAAATAGTTTAAGTCGATGTATAGAAATAATGTCCTTGGGGAATGTTTTAAAAATATTTATTTTGTTCAATTTTGAAACTTCTATTCCTTTTAAATAAAGCCAGAAGGCATCTGTTCAATGCAAATGCCAACGAATGAAAACTATAACAGTATGTGTTATTAAACAAAATTTAGGAATGCATCGGTAATAAAAGGTACACGTTCTACCTAGGTGATCAATACCAATATTTGTCTGTAGCATGTATACCTTCTAATCAATTGTTTATGCTGTTGATCATTTAACCTTCTTTACATATGTCGTGCCCATAGTCACAGGTAACTTAAACAGTAAAACATGGCAGTGGCGTAGCTAGGAATTGGTCATGGGAGGGGTGCAAACATTTTTCCATATGTATACAATATATATATATATATATATATATATATATATATATATATATATATATATATATATATATATATATATATACATATATATAGGTCAATGGGAGGGGTTATAACCCCCTAACCTCCCCTTGCCTGCGCCACTGAAACCTGGCAACAGCGGTTCATCACGATATAAGTTTAACGCTGCTACAGAAGGACATACATTCTAATATAACTGCTATAAACATGTCACAATACGTTCTGCTATAGTTTGGTTTAGTTCAACATAATTGTGTTTGTAAGTCAGGGTTTGGCTATTAGTCTATTGCAGTAGCGTAGCGAGGGGGCGGGGGGACATATGTCCCCGGGCGCCGACCTTAGGGGGCGCCAAAATGGGTTGGAAAAATAAATTGAAAGGTTGAGGGGGGTGCAAATCGGAATCTTGAGGGGTGCAAATCGAAAAGTTTGTCCCCGGGCGCCGGGAAGGGTGGCTACGCCTCTGGTCTATTGGCAGCTTAAAAAGCTTAGAGCAGATCCGCCTATTGGACTGATGGACGTTTTACATAGCTGAACACATCTAGCTATGGTAGGTCCGCTTGCTTGCAGTGGCGTAACTAGGGGGGGGGGGGTAGGTGGGGCGCTCGACCCTAAGTGGGCGCCAAAAGGGGTAGTAAAATTAACTAAAAAGCTTATTTTAAGCTAAATATTGATTAATACACAGTCAAAGTTACGAAAATAAACGACTGTAAGGCTCTACTCATATTTTAAAATGTTTTCTATATCAATTTTGTTGCATTAAAATAGAAAACATTATGGGATAGTAACTGGCAAGAGGCGCCACAAATTTTTCCAACTGGGGGTTGGGATGGGCGCTTTTTCACAAATAGGAATAACTTTATTTAAATGGGAGGAAGAGGGCGCACAATTGAAAGTCCGCACGAGCGCTGGACTGTGTTGCTGTGTTGCTACGCCTCTGTTTGCTTGATCTCAGATTGCTAATAACAGTTTCTCCTTAACATGTTTAGCTAATAGTCCATAAGTTTACATTGCTAGTTCAGTTTGGACGGCTACAGGACATTATCCCCCCCTCCGTCAATTACACCCCCGGACAATGCCCCCCATATTTACCCCCAAGAGCAATTACCCCATGTCAATTACCCCCCCCCCCCTCCCCCTACCCGGGGAAGAACTCCTAGCTCTAACTCGATTTCTATGCTTATATATTACCTTAATCCTAACCTTAAGAAAGAGACCAAAACCTAAGTATTCACCTCAGCCAAAAACTTAAAACAAAACCAAAACAAACTCTAGACATTGGTTTATGCCTAACCTTGACCATAACACTAACCCAAACCCCAACCCTAACTCTGACTATAACACTAATCCTAAATCTAGCCCTAAGCCTAACACTAGCCCTAACACTAGCCCTAACCCTATCCCTAACCCTAACACAGGGTGTAATGTGCTATTGTGCGGGGAGGGGGGGGGGTAATTGACTGGGTGTAATTACTCCGGGGGGTAATGTCGGGGGGATGTCTGGGGGTAATTGACGGGAAGGGGTAATGCCCTGTTCCCAGTTTGGACAAGGGTCATGTTGGATCTACAGAGAGGAGAATATGGATAAAACTTCGTCAATTACAAAGGCCGACTGTAAAAGGCCAAAAATGATAAAAGTCTAACAATTAATCCTTTACTGGACAGATAACGTTATAGACTTCTTCAATTCATCTACTATGTGCTTATTTCATACAATCAGGCTATTCAATTTATCACACTTATCATAACAACAAAGTTCAGAAAGGTTGTTTTTTTTATTAGCGACGTTAAAAAAGAAAATCGCTTCATTTGCCTTTCTTTGAAAACAGCTATCGGTAACCACTTTAAGATATTCTCCTTTCGTGATCTTCATTACTTAGCCTAATTCAAAGCTTCTAGGATATGTAAGTAAAAAACTTGTATTCAAAATTACATATCATTCTCACTTTATCATTAAAATACTATTTCAAACGCTGAAGTTTCGAAGTTAAGAATCCAAGATTGGTATATTTTCGATGTTACTTATTTAAATACATTGTTCAAGTACAATAGTCATTAAATTATATACCTTATAAGCATATTTTACAAGCATTTTATTAACACTTTTGTAAAATTTACGATTTATTATTACGATTATTAACACACAAAAATCGAAATATATAAAACTTAAAGTATCGATTTTGTTATTGTATTTGTTAACTTATTATTTTGACTAAGATATTTCAGCCAAATCATCTTAGGGCCTACATGCATTTTAAATGGTAGACTAATTAATACCCTATGGTGTCCAAATAAACAAAATCTGTTTTTTACCATCAGAATATTTTTCTTGTCCTTGTAAAATACAGTATTAAAATGCAATTTCATACTTTTAAAACTTTTAGAATACAAAGGTCGTGACGTTCTATGAACACATTATCTGGTAAAGTTCCTTGTCTCACAAGGTGGTTCTTTAGTTTAATGAAGTAGAGTTAACCTGTTTCTATAACTTAGACATTTGAATGGATTGTGTGGCCCAGCTGCCGTTACTTTCATTAACTTGAGTCAAGTAACCATTATAGCTGGGTGGACTCATGGACGTTCTACGGACTTGAACCCGAATTAGAACTCGAGACTTTCTTGTATGCTCTACCATTTGGTCATGCCGCCCATAATTAGATCATTTGTCGCGTTTAAAAAGAAAAAAAAATTCCACAAATTACCAATAAAGCCTTTGCTAATAACTCGAAACTTTGAAAGACTTCAACTTAATTTCAGGATCCTGACCGATATGAAATCAGGTATACTTAACGTTCTGTATATAACTCCATTGATGAAATCCGACAAGATCTCTGTGATGATTGCACGATCAGTTTTGGCCATTTTGTTGGTCGCATCGACCGGAAGTTGCGACACAGATTGCCGGAAGCTCAATCACTTCTCGGAGGTCACAGCATCGGATCAGCTTCAGTTGGTAGACGTGGACCAGACGACGTACAAAGCAATCGAAAACTTGTTCCTGCAGAACTGGAACTTTTCAAACGTTGGGAGAGGAAAAGACGCTAAAGGTATAAGCTTTAATCACGTGGAAGTTATCGATATTAAGAAGAACGTTCATCTGAGTATGGAATCGTACAACAAAAAGCTCAGGGAAATCAAGAATATTAAAAATATTTCACCAGTTACTAGCGAGGTGGCGACTTCAATAAACTTAAGTCCAGTTTTGTCCAGTCAGTTGAGTGCAGAGGCCAACGAATATTTCTTGTTTCACGGCACAAAATGTTCGAGTGTAAACTGTATTTTAACACAAGGTTTTAACGTGTCCTACTGCAAGTATACCATGCTGGGACAGGGGCTGTACTTCGCTGAGAAGGCCATGAAATCCGACCAGTACTCAGGTAATGTAAACATTTTATTTACATAGCACACACACTTACACAATGGTACACACATACACATATAATATCCAGGTACTTATTACACGCGGTGCACTTAGTTTGCATGTTCGTATAAGTAGGCTGGAATTCAAAATAAATAACAGTAAATAGAGAAATATTTGCTTTCAGCTGTTTTTAGATAACAGTAATTAGTTTTTAAACGATTGATTTGATAAATGTTTAGTTATAGCTACGATGTCTAACCTGTTTGTGTTTAACGTAACATAATCGAAGAAGTAGTTACTCTAAATATGATAACTTAGTTCCAGGAGTACTCGATGGGTGCTGGGTTATTTCTAATTTATGTTTAATAATATTAATCTATTATTCCTTAAACAATGCCCTAAATATCTTTCCTCAACATTTTAGATAGTTTAGTTGCAATTTGTTGAGTTTTAACTTTATTCGCATTTCACAGCCGTTGAATAAGAGTAGAGATTGCCATGTTTAATTAATTGCATGTTTAATTAATTGGTTTATTGAATCTTTTACAACTTTTGCAATTTTTCAGACCCGAGAGACAACAGAACATCGCTGGGAACCAACCTGACAATGATACTCGCGAGAGTGATCCTAGGCCCGTATTTCGCCTGTAACAAACCGAATTGTCTACAACGTAGGGCTATGATCTTATGTTTTCCTGTTTGTTTAGTTAGGATAGGGAGGGGAAGAAATGTGAAGTTGTTTAGTAAGGACATCTGACAAAGGACAGAGAGAGGAAGAAATGTGAAGTTGTTTAGTAAGGACATCTGACAAAGGACAGAGAGAGGAAGAAATGTGAAGTTGTTTAGTAAGAACATCTGACAAAGGACAGAGAGAGGAAGAAATGTGAAGTTGTTTAGTAAGAACATCTGACAAAGGATAGGGAGGGAAAGAAATGTGAAGTTGTTTAGTAAGAACATCTGACAAAGGACAGAGAGAGGAAGAAATGTGAAGTTGTTTAGTGAGAACATCTGACAAAGGACAGAGAGAGGAAGAAATGTGAAGTTGTTTAGTAAGGACATCTGACAAAGGACAGAGAGAGGAAGAAATGTGAAGTTGTTTAGTAAGGACTTCTGACAAAGGATAGGGAGAGGAAGAAATGTGAAACAGTTTAGATGTTGGATTTAAAATATAATAGCTACATAGTACTTTACATTATAACTTAATTTCAAATGAGTTGAGTGCTATCTCGAATGGTAGGCCTACAGGCATGATGTACCTGTCCATCCAACTGTTATGGGTATCTAACTCACGTAAGTGAAATTAAAAATGGTTGGGCATAACGCTGACCACACTATGCCTTCATGTGCCGGGGTCATACGAGCAGGTGAAACTTGTACCATTGACCTCCGTGTTTGAAAGATTAACTTTACTTACACAAATACAAATGAATTTAGAAATATTTAACTTAGAAGAAGCTTCCAATCAACTATTGAACACGCTTAACACTTTTAATACACTACAATTTTTACATATCCCATTAACATTTTAAAAAAATACAATTATGAGCCACCCACTATGTTAGATCTTACCTGACAATATATCTAAAACTTTCCACCTTTACCTGACAATATATCTAAACTTTCCACCTTTACCTGACAATATATCTAAACTTTCCACCTTTACCTGACAATGTATCTAAAACTTTCCACCTTTACCTGACAATATATCTAAACTTTCCACCTTTACCTGACAATGTATCTAAAACTTTCCACCTTTACCTGACAATGTATCTAAAACTTTCCACCTTTACCTGACAATGTATCTAAACTTTCTACCTTTACCTGACAATGTATCTAAAACTTTCCACCTTTACCTGACAATGTATCTAAAACTTTCCACCTTTACCTGCCAATGTATCTAAAACTTTCCACCTTTACCTGACAATGTATCTAAAACTTTCCACCTTTACCTGACAATGTATCTAAAACTTTCCACCTTTACCTGACAAAGTATCTAAAACTTTCCACCTTTATTTGACAATTTATCTAAAACTTTCCACCTTTACCTGGCAATGTATCTAAACTTTCTACCTCCAGCCTTCCCACCATGCGAAAGTTTACCCTACAACGCCACATCTCTTGTGTATGAAGCATCCTGGTCATTATTTCGAGAATTCGTGGTCTACGATGATTCCCAGGCTTTCCCGGCATACGTCATAACATACGTACGTGGAAATCAGCCTGTTACCAAGTGGAGCCTAATGACGTGGACACAGTATGCCTTGTCTTCGTGTGCTGGGACTCTGTTGTATAAATTTTTAAATAAATAACGGAGAGGGAAAATGATTTATATACGTTTCACAGTCAGCATTACATATTTCAACTTTTAAACGTCAACACTTATTAGTAATCATACTAAAATGACCAATATTATAAAAATAATAATAAAATAACATTATTTTAAATAAATGTTTGTTGATTTGTATTTATAAGAGTTAAATAACGTGACAATGTTGATAATGTAGAATGTAGACTTTATTGTAGAGTAGAAAGGACAAGACATGAGACATGACAGTACAATTAAGAAGGAGGAAGTAGCACTGGGTGGAACACACACTGCGAAAGTCTCACTCTAATGTGACACGTCAGGCACTGGAGTCAGAGTTTCTTTCAGTCATCTCTTCGGGGGGGGGGGGGGGGGGGGAAAGCATAGCCCCCACCCCCGAAGAAAGTCTACCCCCGAACGAAATGGAATTTATATAGAAAATATACTTTTGACTGTGTCCGCCCCCCCCCCCCGATTTTTGTTGTCCGCCCCCCCCCCCCCCCCGAAAATTTCAAGTGCACTCCCGGAGAAAAAAGTCTTAAAGAAACGCTGACTAGAGTGGGACCCTCAGAGGACGCCATGACAGACCTAGAGATCTGAAGACAACAGGGATGTTTTGGAAGAGAGCAAAATTAACATCCGGGGACCGGACAAAATGGAATGGTATGGTCGAGGGCCTATGTTCAACAAAAGGACTAAGTCAATTCAACCCAAAGACTTGCCAAACCGCTATGTAAACTTTAACATCAGCAGAGTTTAACCTGGGGCACAAACGCAATGCAATCGAATATTTAAACAACACACGTTAGCTATCTCTGTGTCATATTCAGCTGTTTGGAGTGAAGGTGGCTCATATTTTCAGAGTGCACGTGTAGGGTGAATGTTCACTATACTATGCAAAAGGATGGCGTAATAGTTTGTCAAGTGCACACACACACACACACAATATATATATATATATATATATATATATATATATATATATATATATATATATATATATATGTAAATATTGGTGTGGATTACATAGATCAAGATCTATTTACAATCACAGACAGAAATATCAGAGTTGTATTCTAGCGTCCATCCGTACAAACAAAAATCAGTAAAATCCGAAACTGGCGAAAACAGAGAAGTAATCCTAATGTATTGAGTAATCACTAAGCAATGTGTAGAGGTTACAATCAGAGTCTCTTCAAGGCAGACCCCCCCCCCCCCCCCACCCCACCCGAAGAGAGTCTACCGCCCTCCCCCCCCCCCCCTCCCCGAACGAAATTGAATTTATATAGAAAATATAAATATAATTTTAATAGTCTCCGCCCCCCCCCCCCCCCGAAAATTTTAGTTCTCCCTCTCCGAAAATTCTAGTGCCACCCCCCCCCCCCCTCCAACGGGAGAAAAAAGTCAAAAGTCTGGAAGAATGATTGAAAGTATACAAAATTCTTACGGTAACGCAAAATAATTAAAATCTTAATTAATAAAAAGCATACAATTCCTTTTTTTTTTAAGGCCAAATAGGCGTTTAGCCCATCATCTATACTTGCTACTTTTATTGCCGATTTGAAGGCGGATAGTACTAGCCTGGGATAATCAGGTACAAAGCAAGTCATTGGGGTTACTTCCCTTGTTCTAGGACTTATTTTTGGCTCAGACGACGCACAATCGTGTAATAACAAGTGTTTAGTCAGAACATCGGTTTTCAGGAACCAGAGTATTTTATAACTAAAATTAAATATGTACTTATATATAAATATAGTACATCTGACTATATTATAATGTAGCCGATATGAAAAGGTGCGTTTTCTTCTTGCTATACCCCCCCCCTTCCCCACACACACTCTTAATCTCACACAGTAATAACATTATTAATATTATTTTTGTTAATTATTACTACTACTAAGCTATGCATTTTTATATTGCTGTTCTTAATATTATTGTAAGCGTGTTTTGTAATGTGCTGTTCAGCATTTACTCTTTTTCAATTTTCATAATTGCCATTAAAACAATATTATGCATGTTTGACAATTATTTATTATTTTGATCTGGTAACTTAGCCCTTAGATGAACTTCCGCTACAGGTATTTATATTATTCATTTTTAAGTTCTCCAACAAAGAATTGATCAAAATTTAGAGTAGATCTCTGTATTTTATTCCTTAAAATGTAGGCCTAACTTAATCATTTAAACTCACATAAACTCACTGTTTGATGTTAAAGCTAAATGAATTTAGCAATAAAGTATTAAAGTTATATTACATTCGGTTAAATTAAATGCTTAAGAAATAAAAAGCGCAGAATCGTAGAAAACTGGATCCGAGTTCTGCTGGATTCTAGTCTAGATCTAGATCTAGATCTAAATCTAGATCTAGTATCTAGAAATCTAGACTATAACTAATCTAGATTTAGATATCTAGATATAGATCTAAATCTGCTCGTTATTGACAATATTGATCTGAATCTAGATCTAGTCACTTCTAGAACTAGATCTAGTCTAACTAATCACTGACTAATCAGAAATGACTCTATTTTTCTTGTCATCAGATCTGGAATAGCCTAATCTACTCATTAAACTAAGCCTAATTCTAGATTAATTCTAAGAGTAAGTTAAGAAAATAATAAATTATTAATAAACGTCCAGATTTCAGCAATATAGCGCAAGGTTCAAATTGAAAATCAGTCTTTAACATACCCAGGAAATTTAGTTCAACTTTGTTGTCAACATCGCTGAAAGTATTCAGTACATTAATTTGACAAATGAATCCTGCACTGTATACATCTCTGCATCTAATCCGTATTTCTGCCAAGTTTCACTGTTGTACTAAAACTTGAAAGAGTCTCTATAGACTCAAAGTAACACTTCTCTTTTAAAAAGGTGAAAAAGCCCCCCCACCCCCAAATCCACAAGTCGCTGCGGGCGTCTTAAATCATATTGAAATCAAACTTATACAGTTTAAAAGGTTATTTATTTAAGAACAGAATTATGTATAAAATGTTAGTATAAACACAATAAAATCATGCAAAAAATAGAGTTTAACATGCAGGTAGTTGAGGGAGTAGGGAAAAGCCGATGTTCTCGGCAGCAACCTTGGCTTAGCTACAAAAAATTCCCAAGTCTAGGTCACACGAACTGAGCAAAAAAAAACATAGGCCTACTTAGGCTCATTGTGTATTGACATACTTGTAATAGGCCTAGTACCACACATGCGACATTAGTGTTATGAAACCAGGCCTGAGAGATATAACTTAGATTTCATTTACACATTGACATTAACACTAGGCCTACTTAATGTAAAAATATCAAGTATAGAGGCCGAACTGAAAAATACAAGTGAAAATTTTTGGACGTATAGAAAATTAAGTTTAAATAGGTTAGAAGAGTAACTTACATTTTTACTTTCTCGTATATACGAAGTATAGAGAAAGTATTGTAATCGTGCACAAAAATCATTTGAAATTTTAACAATTTTCACCGTATTACACCTCAGTCCTTCATCACATCCGAAGTATAGAGGACTTATTTTAATCGGGCAAAAATTATCAATCCAGATTTATCAAAATTAAGAGGTTTTATGCGTAATCCAGTCTGAAAAACTGGACTTTGCAATTCTGTCCGTATGTCTGTGTGTGTGTCTGTGTGTGTGTCTGTGTGTGTGTCTGTCCGTGTGTAAACACGATAACTTGAGTACCGTTACAGCTAGGTTGATGAAATTTCATATATAAGTATTTTATCAAAATCGTAGATCCGTATCAACTTTTGAGCGATTTCCGATAACCGGAAGTGGTACTTTTCCTACTTTGAATTTTTTAAAAGCCTATAACTTGAGTACTATTTCAGATAGATAAATGAAATTTCACATGTAAGTAAAAGATCTAATTCTCTACCTTCTGTTAAATTTTGAGTAATTTCCGTTGACTGGAAGTAGTAATTTACGCTACTTCCGATTTCTCAAAAAACTAATGTAAATTTTTAAAGTACTAATAATATTGCACACTATTATACGCGTTTTTATTCGGCGTTTGCTTGGTGCGCAATGTTTTTTTTTATGAGATTATATTCTATTTTTAAAAGTTTAAGTATTTAAAATGGATTAAAAATCATAACTATATCCCCAGTTACCATCCCCTGTTGTTTTATATAAGAATATTCGAGAAAGTTTAGGGGAGATCACTACCGGTTTATTTCATTAAGTAACAAATTTCAAATTGTATTTCTGGCTGTTTTTAACTAGATTTAGGTTGTATTTAAAGTCAACACAGTAGAATCTTCAACACAATAAAATTTATCAATAAGTTAAGCTCCCCATTGATATTAAGTGATACCGAAATACACTTAAGATATGAATATTTATTTAAAAAAAGAAAGAAGGGGCTCTTTCAACATAAATTAAATTTCTCAGTAGTACACTACAGAAAAATCTAAAAAGGATAAGAGATTTGAAATGCATCTCAACTATTTTGATCAATAACAATACAGTTATTCTATGGCTTCCAGCTCTTGATTGCTTGTAAAGTTACATGGTGTCGGGGAACCATACTACCTAAGAGCCTACGATAATGATACCAATGGTGACTGAACTAGACGATGTTGATTAGGCCTCTTCATTCTTATTGGAAATAATTTTTGATGTAAACTCTAGTTTGTTTTTGCTTCAAAGAGACATAAAATATTAAATTTTGCTAGTATCAAATTTTAACAAAATTATATTTTAAATGGATTTATCTGCTATATTCTTGTATAAGATATTAAAACTAACAATATTATTATCTAGATTCTATCATTCTAAGAATATAATTAGGTCTTATGTTTGAACTAGTAGACCTGTTCTAATACTTAATAATTACGGAATAGTAAGTAATAACATATCCAGTCTAATTAAAAATAATTGAAGTAGGCCTATATAGTAGTCTATTAACCTATCTCTGTTTAGTTATTAATTTGTGTATAAGTACTATAAGCTACTAACTAAATAAGTAGAAATTGCCTAGTATATAAGCCTATGCTTGGTGTTAGTAAATCTTCTAAGAATATGATTAGGCCTAATGTTTGAACTTGTAGGTCTGTCGAATTAAAAATAACGAGCTGACCCGCGCCATAAGCATACGCGCAATTTAGTTGTTTTATTTGCTACTTTTCAGTAATTCATAATTTGTGAATTTGACACTACCCCCCCCCCTCCCCCAATGAAAGCAGCCGTCTGTGACGACAGTTTACAGACGACAATAAAAAGATCAAGGAGAACTTGGTTTCAAATTGTTTAAAAGCTACTTATTTTTGAGGGGTCACAGTAAATGCATATCTCCATCAGCACATTTAGCGACAAAAAAATTGGAAGTTATTACAGTACAAACAAAATTCTTTGAAGTCTGCATCAAACTTCATTGTAACTTGAATGCAGTATAATTTTTACAGACATTTTCGCATTTTACCCCACCCATCATGATTTTAAAAATAGACTAAAATAAATAAACAAATAGAAATCTTTGATTGCTTTTCTGACATTATTTCAGAGTGCCACCCCCCTTCATTGGACATGCATTAGTCTTTGTCCTTTTATCTAGTTATTATTTAACCTAAATACTTCTATTGCAAACGTATGTTAGCATCTATGTGCAGTTTTATCTTTATATCTTCAATAACATTAATAACAACATAGAAATATTGATATGTTTTCTGAAAAATGTCCTAAGAAATTTATTGTACAATGACACCCACACCCCTTAACTGGGCTGAATTAATTGTAGTAATGGCAATACACAATAAAAATAAATGAGATACTTTTAAGAACCAAAATTTTTTTTACCTTGCTTATGATAAAATGTTTCTATTTTTGTGCAGTTTTATTGTCATCCCATTCAGAACGGACTATTTAATTGAACACCTGGTACATTATAATCATACATTTTTTTTTAGATTTTCATATACCAGCATTATGGTTTTAAACAAACCCTAAACTCTTATTTTTTTTATTGCAGAGTTATCGGTTATAAGACATTTACCATGTGACACTACCATGTGATTTGTCAACCAGTAGCACAGTTTGTGTAAGTAAATGTTTCAGTCCAATAATTTCAATATATGACATTCATGATTATGCTGTGTATCATCAATATAAGATGGATATATATCACAATTCATTCTGACTCTATTTTAGTTTAAAATTTTTGAAAACTATTCTTAGTTGGTCACTCTAAATCATAATTGACATCACACTCATTAGGGAAACAGGGTATTAGATGTCAGTCTTCTTCATTCTTAATTTTAGTGTTGGATGGGATCCCCTCCAACACTGTGTCAACTGGTTATGTGCCATTTCATGTGGCTGTGAACATATAACATCTTTTATTGACTATATTTTGTCTTGCTGAAAATATTGGTGCTGAAATTGCTTTTTTAAATATTTTTTTTTTGATTATACAGTTTCCCGGGGGATGTGTATTCCAAAAAATTATTTTACCTAATTAAGACTAATAATTTGACCGGCAATAAAAAAACTTACAAAACTTTGTTCACCTTTACCCTCTCCACCATATAGAGCAAATGAAGTAGAGTTCATGTGTTAGCATAAGAAAGGATAGTGCCCTCAGTTTTCTGCCCAGCATACTTCACTTTCCCTCATGTTAGTCAGGTACTACTCAGAAATTAGTGAACTTAGGGGCATCCTACTGGCTGTTTCAGAGAACTGAACTTAAGGCTCTGGTGCTAGAGGTCATATGTTCTACTCTCTGATCATGCCATTACATTCCCTATGAGTGAACTATAATGGAGTAACTTAACCAGATGCTTAAGTTTCATTTTAACAATGCTGCTTTACACTCACTTTCTACCTTCCCCCCCCCCCCCCCCCCAATCAAATGTTCTGAAGATGTGTGTCATATACCATATACTTGTGATTTAACGCTTTAAAAAAGTAACTTTGTAAGGTTAAATTTATGATGGATAATTTAACAGGTGAAAATCACATTGATTGTTTGACTGAATTCAAGCATACAATTTTTTTATTTTTAGGTTAACAAATCTGGATGTCAGAAATGGAAGAAGGGGAGAGTACTGATGTTAAACAGAATTTATTAGCTAGAGAGAAGCCACTTCCAGACACTGAGCCAGAGGTCTCAAACAACAATGCCAGTAAATACCAGTCTCCAGGTACACTGGAACATCGTCCTGAAGACTTGCTGCTTGAGGTGAAGTCTGAGGTACTTTCTGATGATGAACAAGGAAATGAGGTGCGTGACGATTCGGATGAGGTTCATGATCGTTACATCAGACTAGTTCACTCTAAAAATGTTGTTGAGCACGCAGCGAGTGATTTAGCTCACAAGGAACATGAAACTTGCAGCCTGTGCAGTACCGAGCTACCTCAGAGTTTCACTGTCAAGAAGGCAAGAAAAAAGCAGGTCCCCGGCGAAAAAAAGTTCGCCTGCAATATTTGTTGTAAAGAGTTCGCCAGGCGGAATAATTTACTGCAGCACCTCATGGTGCACACGCGGGAGAAAAATTACATCTGCAGTGTGTGTGACAAGGAATTCACGCAGATCAGCAATTTGAAGCGCCACCTGCTTGTTCATTCAGGGGATAAACCTTTTGTTTGCGATATATGCAAGCAGGGGTTCTCTCAGAAGGAGACGCTCAAACGACATGAGGTTGTTCACACGGGGGAAAGACCCTACATATGTGGTATTTGTAACGTAGGTTTCACACAAAGTGGAATTTTAAAGCGTCATCAGCTAGTCCATACAGGAGAGAAGTCGTTCTTTTGCTCGTTGTGTAGTAAACAGTTTTCCAGCAATAATAGTTTAAAGCGTCACCAACTGGTTCATACGGGTGAAAAGCCTTTTATTTGTTATGTTTGCAAGCAGGGGTTTTCTCAGAATGAGACGTTGAAAAGACACTTATTGATCCACTAAAGCATTTCAAGTTTTTATTGTTAAATTTTAGTACAGGATTGTGTTTTTTTTTTTTTTAAATTGTTTTGATGTAATATCAATGTTAGCATCAACCTTTCTGCTGTTCATCAAAAACTTCTGTGTTAATTATATGTCAGTCACTTATTTTTTTCATCTCTTTGATGTTATTTATCCAAACAGTAGTGTTAAGGGGATATGCACAGTTTTTTTTTCTATTTTGTTACAATTTAACATATAAAGCAATTTAAATTGTTTTATCATGTTTAGCAAAGTAAATATTAGACTGGAAAAAGGAGTTTGAAAACAATTACTGTCGTCATGGAATTTTTTGTACATTTAAAAACATTAACTGCTTCTATTTGAGTATATATTAAAACTTTTGTGACAGCATTATTTTCATAGAGCTACTAGTCAGAATCCTACAAGGTCAGAAAGTTTGCACTTTTTTAGTATGCTACGCATATCTCCTTAACAAAGTTGTGTGTGTATTAATGTTGACTTTGTTGTTCAGTTTTAGTTTTTTAAATTATCAGAGCATGTCTTGTGATTTGTCCCCTCATGTATTGGTCTAAATTGACTAATTCTTCATGTTAGTAAACATTTCATTGTAATGTTTCTATTTTAAGTGAATAAGTAGTATAAATTATAATTAAGATCATGATTGAAAATTCGCAGTATAAATTTATTTTATTATGCGACATTAGTTTTCTGCTTGAAAAGAGTTTTACATTTTTATTTTAACAATTTTATTCTAGACTGTTTGATTATTGCAATTTGCACGGTATGACCTACATAAATTTATAACTAATTTAAATTACAACCAAGTCATTTAAAGCTCCAATGGTTCCATGTGCATACAGTATTTTGAAACAATATATATATATAAATATATACAGTATACAAAAGACACCAATGGTTTACACAAACATAGTAGTAAATAGGCCTATATGTAAATGTTTATAATTAGCATCAGATGATGTCTGTGTGAGTGTATGTATCTGTTATAATGATTATTAATTACATAAATTAATTAAAATATGTTTTTGACTTTTTTCTCTTTCACAAGTTCTGTTTGAAGTGGCTTACTAGGTTCTTGATCGACCTACCGACTGACTGACTGTTATAATGACATACAGACAGAATGGATGGATGGATAGAGACATAAAATAGACTGTATAAAATACATAACTTTGTTAAACATATAAAACAACAACTCAACGTCTGTTAGTTTAGTCGTAGCCTATTTGACCGCTCAGAGCCATACCTGTCTGTTTTGTTCGTCTCGTCTAAGTCTAATTTTATAATTATGGCTTGCCTAGCTTTAGCTTCTTCTTCTTTCTTAATTATTAGTGTTAAAAGGATCGAGATTTATCTGCCAGTGGGTTTGAACTCGAGACTTTGTTCGAATTTATCAACCGACTCGACCACGCCTCCAACACAATTAAGCGTTACGTGTCAACTGTTTATGCGCCATTGAGGCCATTGACTCCGATTTCAGCCTGCTTTTCTTTTTGGATTTGCTTCCATAGCCTTTGTCCAACCAAGAACAAACTACAAGGCATCAGTTGTTTTAATTTTGGAGTTGTCACTCCTAGAAGAGTGGCTGTTCCACAGCTAATGAGCCTCATCTGCCCGAGGGTTCGAACTCGAGACTTTTCGGTTTAGCAACCATGAGCTTTACCGACTCGACCACGCCGACCCTTAGCTTTAGCTAAAATAATGTCATTGCAAAAACGAAATATAGTAGTAGTCCCAAGTTTTAAAACTTTCTATTTCTTTTCACCTCAAAGTATCGCTATAACGATACTATCAATAACATTACTCAAGAATCTAACTTAAATTGAATAGCAGGAAAAGTGCGCCAAATCCGATTAGATTTACAGTAATCTAGACTATTCGAGACGCCATACATGTGCCTGATCAGTAAATTGTAACTACTGTAAACCCAATTTATTTAATTTTATAACAATCCAAGCAATCATTTAAATAATCAAGACGAAAACGGCGCTCTTTCAGGACAAGAATGAATAGTAAATCACAATTTACCGACTCTCCGTTTCGCGATTGCCAAATCACTATATTTTGTGACTTTGGTATTCTATAATGTAAACGTATAGCTACCATTAACCAAGCTCTCCGATTAATCGCATATTTTAGTCAAACAGCTAACTACCAAATGTAATAAATTGAATTATAAAAAAGGCCACATATTTTGGCATACAAAAATATACTAAACTCTTTATTATTATTTAGTATAATCATTAGTGTTATCAATTCTGTTATATCGTACGCTATACGTTATGTTGGTCTTTATGAACAGAAGAACCTACCACTGACCAAAAAACCGTAACATGCATAATTGTGTATCAGTATATTGGAAATAAATCTTCTCCCTATATAGCATTTTATGATTTTAAGCAAGCAATTCATAATGTGGAAAGAGATGTCCAACAGTTTTATAAAGATACAAATTGCCATATTATCCATAGCAATGTTAACTATCCCTGGGATTCAGCAGACCTTCATTAAATATCTGGTGTGAAGTTTTTATTCTATAAGTTTCTATTATGGTTTTGAAACATTAAACTATTTTTTATAAGCAACAAAACACATTTCTATAACCAGATTGCACTAAAAGTGCCATCTACTTTACTGTTATAGAAGAATATAAAAGAAAATTTAAAGAGATCACTACCCTTGTATATAAAACGAAAAAAAAAAACCTGCCAATTCTAATAATTGGTGTGCATCTTGTAAAATCTACATTATAAAAAAAAAAAAAAACGAAGAACCCCTTAATTTTTATTTGCACATATCAGGATCTTTTACGCAACCTAAAGATATCATTACCCTGGTATATAAATCGTGAAAACCTGCCAATTGTAATAGTCGGTGTGCAACTTGTAATAATTACATAATAAAAATCCAAAAAGAAAACATAAAGAAGAACCGGTTAATTTTTAATTGCACATATCAGAATCTTTTACGCTACCTAGCCTCTTCTCCATGTTGATAGTTGAGAGCTGGTCTGAGATTTGCGTCCGTTACTCGGTTCATATCTGGTTCTTGTAATCCAGCGTCTATCAAAATGAGTGTATCAGAGCCGAGACTCTAACAATTTAAAGAAAAAAAATTAACACGTATAAAAGTCTTTTTATAAAAAAAAAATTATATTTAAACCTGAAAACATGGTTCTTAGCCTGTGTTCTATCGATCCCCAGTGGCTCAGTGTGTTATTGAATTCCTACTTACTTCATTAATTGTGTCAAAGCCACATATACAGGCGTGAGTTGATCGTGTATTTAGGAGCGCGGCACGAACACAATTTTTATTTCTATATCGTGGCTCAGTATTCTACTGGTGAATGATCTAATGCAATGTTGTGCGATTTATTTGTTAATATTAGAATCCCTTATTACTATGCCGAGCATGTGGATTCGCATGTACAAAGGAATTTGATGAGAGTGAGTGGCCTAACTGAAACTATTTGCAATTGCAAAGTTGAACAAACCTTGTTTAGCACAGGCTAATATATCTCAAAATAGTCTATCTTCTGAAAACAGGCTATATAAAGAATATTTCTTTAATTAAATGCGCAAAAATAAAAATCAACAAAATCTTAACTTTTTAAAAATTCTTTGTTCATTTTTGTTTTCAGAAGATAGACTATTTTGAGATATTTTTTTCATATTGATAACATTAAAAAATCGTTTTAGAATTCTATGGTGATTTGAAAATATATAAGTTTTATCATTTCAAATGAATACTTTTTTGCAATAAATCAAATCCCTATTTTGTGAGTAATCAGTTTAACTACGATTATTATCAAATTATGATTATTTATACACACAGATGTTCGATAGTCTAAATAATGTTTTTTTATATTTTGCGATACTAAAATTCTATAACACGAAATAAGAATTTTATGACGTTCAAATTATAAACGGAAAATACAATTAAAGAAATGACGAATAAAAATTGACTGGAATGGCAATGATGTTCAAATATATTAAACCAAACAACGCATGATACATTTGTAAACAAAAAAGGAAATTATTTGATAAGTTCAGAACATGACGACATATAAACTGAAGAATACACCTTTAGAATACTGCTTATGAAATAAATAATCCGGGACTGATCTCCCCTAAACTTTCTCGAATATTCTTATATAACATTAAGGGCGATGGCAACGCGGGATATAGACTGGATTTTAAATCTATTTTTAATGACTAATACTTTTTAAATATAATAGAATCTTGTAGAAAAAAGAATTGCGCACGCCAAAAAATATATATAGCCTATAATTGTGTGAAATATTATAAGTCTAATATATAAAGCTCAATTCTGTATGTAACACATATGTTTGTCGTGGATCTTCGATGGATTTAAGTGTTAGATAATTAAAGTCCTTATGGTCTAAATTTATGAGTTAAAAAAATAATATTGAAAGTTTTGGGAAATAATTTTCATTTATCAAACTGAAAGTAATAATTTTCGGCATGTTCATTAAACACAAGTTATAAAAAAATATCATCTTTTACAAAAATTCTAATTATGTCTTTATTTAGTCCTATAGCACTATCTTCCCTTTGATAAATTAGGAAAACACAATTACTTCCCTTTATAAAACCATTGCATTAGTGGAAAAGAATTTACTTTTTATTACTTTGTTTTGGTGTTGGGAAAAAAAATAATTACATAATTAGCGGGGATTGTTCAAGTGCAAATGTTGTAGGTATTTTACGGATAAGCTTGGAGTATTATAATTGTTCATTAAATTGAAACGGGCGCGTTCGTTTAAGTGAGTGCAAAAGACTATGAATAAGTTGGGGTACTATAGTCGTTTATTATGCTGAAACAGGCGATTCCGCCCCGGGCTAGACTGTGAGCACTTTGCGTTTATGTTCGCGTTAGTGTTTTCTTTGTGTTTAGGTTGGGTTTGCGTTAGTGGTTGCGTTTTGATTTGGTTCGTTTTTGTTCTTTCTTTTTTCATTTTTGTTTGTGTTTTTTTCTTTGGGTTTGTATTTGTGTTTGTGGTTGGTTTTGCGTTTGGATTTGGTTTGTTTTCGTTTGCTTTTTCGTTTTTTTTCTTTGTGTTGGTATTGGTGTTTGTGGTTGTGGTTGGGTTTGTTGTTAGTTTTTTTGTTTTCGTTTGCTTTTTTGTTTGTTTTTTCTTTGTGTTTGTATTGTTGTTTGTGGTTGTGGTTGGGTTTGTTGTTAGGTTTTTGTTTTCGTTTGTATTTGTAATTGTGTTAGCGTTATGTTTGCGTTTTGTTGTTTTGGTTTTGGTTGGTTGTGGTTTGGATGGGAAATGCCGGATTTATGATGATTACTAAACACACAGGTAATGGTCTTTAACAGAAAGGTTTTAAACAAAAGCCAGAGCAGGGCCAGGTCGGGACGGCTAGTACTTTATAAATTCATTTTCGTTTTTTGAAATTCCAGTCAACGGAAATTACTCAAAATTCGACAGAAGGCAGAAGATTGGATTTTTTTTTTACTTATATGTGAAATTTGATTTACCTATCTGAAACAATACTCAAGTTATAGGCTTTTGAAAAATGGAAAGTAGAATAGGCTCCACTCCCGGTTACCGGAAATCGCTGAAAAGTTTATACAGAACTAAAAATTTGATATAATACATGTAGATACATTTTCATCAACCTAGCTGTAGCGGTACTCAAGTTAGGGTGTGTACAGACATACAGAAATATACACACACACAGACATAAAAAGTTTAGGTAATTAAAAATGGATTTAAAATCATGTCTATATCCCAAGTTGCCATTCCCCCATAGTGTTTTATAACAATATTCGAGAAAGTTTAGGGGAGATCACTCCCGGTTTATTTATTATACTTTATGTATATCAATAAACGCTTGGGTCTCTCCAGAAATCGTTATGATGCATTTAACAACCAACGCTTTACCATAATTAATTACTCGTCTCTTTTTAATGAGTATCGCGAATCGAATTTTAATTATCGGTATTCTAAAAGTTAGCCTGTGTTAGCTAACTTAGCTGTCAGCATTAATTCTAAACGCGACCCACCACCATCTTTGTTAGCCTGTTAGCCTCTTACCAAAGCTTTTGAAATGTATGGATAATAATTTTATATTGTAGAAATTATCCAAATAACTAGAATCTTGGGTCAACAATGTATGAAATCACCAGGACACTATTTCTACAAGAGAATTTTCGGACAAACAGTATGATATATATATATATATATATATATATATATATATATATATATATATATATATATATATATATATATATATATATATATATATATAAAAAGCAATGTATGTGTATCTGTGTATCTGTGTGTCTGTGTGTCTGTGTGTCTGTGTGTTTGTCCTTTATGCATTACTACACCTCTCATCACATCGCCGTGACACTTTGGGAAGTTGTTGAGAATATTCCTGGGGAGGTTTCTGCGAAAAAAATAATTTCAAATTCGCAGGGGTGGCGCCCCGGCAGGGCGCGATTTGTTTTTCTCTATATACGGTATATAAAAATAAAAGTCTATTTTGGTTTGGCATCGTTCATCCGATAGGCATGAAACTTTGCGGAGTAGATTAGAACACTCTAGGGGAGGGTTCTGTACAAAAATCCTTTTTAATATCGCAAGGGCGGCGCCACGGGAGGGTGCGATTTTTCTCTATATACGGTATATAAAAATAATAAAAGTGAATTACAGTGACACCGTTCATCCGATAGGCATGAAACTTTGGGGAGTTCATTATAAAACTCTAGGAAAGGATTCTGTAAAAAACCATCTTTAATTTCGCAAGGGCGGCGCCACGGGAGGGTGCGATTTTTCTCTATATACGGTATATAAAAATAAAAGTCGATTTTAGTGTGACACCGTTATCCGATAGCCATGAGACTTTGGGGGAGTTAATTAGAACAATTCAAAGAAGGGTTCGGTAAAAAAAAAATCCTTTTTAAAATTCGCAAGGGCGGTGCCACGGGAGGCTGCGATTTTTTCTCTATATACGGTTTATAAATATAAAAGTCTATTTCGATTTCACACCGTTCATCCGTGTACCATGAAACTTTGGGGAGATGTTTAGATCATTCAATAGTAGGGTTCTGCAAAAAAAAAATTGTTTAATATTGCAAAGGCTGCGCCCTCCGGGGGGGGGGGGGGGGGAAGGATTTTACATAAAAAAAATAAAAAAGTTCATGAAACTTTAGGGAGTAGATGAGAATACTCCCGAGAATCCGAGAATTTTTCTGCGAAAAAGAAAACTAACGTTTCTTATGGGCGGCGCCATATAGGGTACAACTTTCGTCAATACACGGTTTGGCGCCCAGAGTTTTAGAGCGACTATGTTGGCACTTAGCATCCGTTAATCGAGCGTCCCGCATTGCGAGAAAGGGGTACTATAATATTCAGCGGTAAAACTACAACACGCTTCTAAAAATAACTTTGTAACGCGAGGAAATCCTTCAGTGTAGTTTCGTTACCTTGCCAAAGATGAAAAAAATAACTTTTTGAATATGAGGAGCCTACTGTAGAGTTTCGTCACTTTGCGAATGATGCAATAAGCATCTACTATTAGACAAGCCAGTCAGAAATTGAGATCGAGCATCTAATAATAGACCATTAGTAACGCTAGCATATTGCATCAGTCACACTGATGTTTAAAACACGTTAAATACTTTTTTACGTGTTAAAGTAAAAAATCCTATTCATTTGTGTCACTTTAGCGAATGACGAAATCTGCATCATTATTAATAGGATGCTATTTGGACGATGGCGCCTGTTAGTTTAAGGAGCCAGGGGTCGTACGCCGCGCCTATGCGGTAGTCTAATCGTGGGGGTGGGGGCCCTGAGAGCGCCCCTGTGCGTCTCTGACACATGGGCGGTCACCGAAGTGTGTTCTAACATTATTTCGGTGAGTGATTAATGTACACTCAATGTTTACATGCGGTAGTGTAGGTAAACCTGTGTCCCGATATTTATGATTTAAGCGCAGGCATTGTTTACATTTAAATAACTCACTTTTAGAAAAGACGGTCACGCGTCTAGAACATATAATTGCTGAAATCCTAATACATTTCGTCAAACGTACTTTTACCCCGCGGCAACGCGCGGGGGACGGGTACGCTAGTATATATATATATATATATATATATATATATATATATATATATATATATATATATATATATATATATATATATATATATAACTACATAAATAAATAAATAAATAAATAAATAAATAAATAAATAAATAAATAAATAAATAAATAAATAAATAAATAAATAAATAAATAAATAAATAAATAAATAAATAAATAAATAAATAAATAAATAAATAAATAAGTAAATAAATAAATAAATAAATAAATAAATAAATAAATATATATATATATATATATATATATATATATATATATATATATATATATATATATATATATACCATATATGTATATGTAATCTTTACATCAGGAATTATGAGGTATCATGTAATGTTGACTATAAATGTTAACCTTTTTTATTGATTAAACAATTAACTGATGAGATTTTATAATAACATACTGACAATTTTTTGATTTATAGTTTTTGTTTCCTATCTTTAAAAAAAAGTAATGTGATAATTGATTTGATATTAAATACTTTTTAATATTCTAATTATTTAAATTTTAAATTAAATCCTTGTTGAAAATTCCTAAACTTTGTTTTTTAAACGTCAGAGAGTTGTTTAAATTCAATTATATATTAATTTAATTAAACGCAGGGCACCCATGAATAAGGCATAAATAACATGTCAGATATTTTAAACTTCACCATGATAACAATGATAAAACATACGTTAGGTTTGGCTTGATCTAGACTGCTTCGATCTGTTTACACCGCAAAAAAAAAACCAACCAATTAGCAACTGTCGAACCGCAGGGACAGAGTATATTATCATATGTAACACAAACTCCAGCCAGTTCGTCTAACAAGGTAGGTGTTGAGCGAATGTGTTCTTGAATAAGTTCCTTAAGGTATCAGTTAATTATTTTCACCTCATGTTTTATAAGCCATCAACACAAATTTTGAAATTAAAGACAATTTTAATTTAAAAAATGCGAATTCGAAAAATAATGTATTTCACATACAAATTTTCTTTATTAAAAGGATGTATATTTTGAAAGTAAATGTAGGAAGTTTATGCTGGTTTCAACGCTGAAAGGCCCATTTAAAACATCTCTCATAAAAAATGGTATATGTTATATACATATAATATATAATATATAAAATATATTTTTATAACTTAATAAACTACCAATGAGCTAATGCAAAGAGGTCTATTGCTCACGTCACAGTGACATGAAGACTTACATTGTTGTGATTCTGGCCATAGCTGGTCAGCTAACGAGGTCTATTACTCACACCACAGCGACATGAAGACTTACATTGTTGTGATTCTGGCCATAGCTGGTCAGCTGGTCGCCGCGGATCCTCAACAGCAACTGGCATTGTCGGCTGCGACCTCTGGCTTCTCCCAGAGACTGTACCAGAAGGTGGCGCTGAACAGAGAAAATGTCGTCTATTCCCCCTACAGGTAACACGTTTCTTGCTATAGGTACGTGTGTCTATGTGTTAGTGTGTGGTTATATGTATCGGTGTTTGTGGATCTATGTGAGTGTCTGTGTTATGTGCGGGCTTGCATAAGAGAGTACCTTGCCTCCCCCCCCCCCGTGCCTGATCTCATAACTCATGGTCTTGTATTCCAGCATCCATTCAGCACTGTCCATGACGTCACTTGGTGCCCGCGGGGAAACTGCCACAGAAATGGCAGAAACTCTTGGGGTCAGCTCTCTTGGTCCTGCCGTCCATACAATCTACAAGGAACTGATAACACAGGTACAGTGGAATTTAGATTTTAACTTATAACACTGGTACAATAGCTTTAGATTTTTAACTTATAACACTGGTACAGTGGAGTTTAGATTTAACTTATAACACTGGTACAGTGGACTTAAGATTTTTGTCCCAAAAAACATGATAGGATTTTCGATTCTGGCAAACGATAATTTGGGAATACTACCTTCTGCTAAACTGCTCTTGGGTAAATGCCGTTAAGTCGTTAAGGCGTCTTACGTAGAATAAATACAATTAATACTTTTCCTTGTATCCCAAACTATATCTTAATACAAGTAGTTTCTATGTATTCATTTGTATTCGATATTCCCCCCCCCCCCCTCTCCAATCCTATAGCTGAACTCTAATACGGATGTTGAGATAAACACGGGAAACGCCATTTTTGTCAACCCAAGGTACACGATCGTGCCCCAATTTATTACCGATGTAAGGGACTATTACTTCGCCAAGGCAGATAACTTTGACTTATCTGCCCCTGGTGGCCCAGAGGAGAAAATCAACGACTACATTTCTCGGGCGACGAAAAACACAATTATGAACACCCTGGAGAAAGGTGAGATACACTAGCTTAGCGAGGGGGGGGGGGGGCGCCGACCTTAGGGGAGCCACAATAGATTGGAAAAACAAATTAAAATATCATTTTAGCTGCATTTTTGTATTATATATGTTACCGAGTCTATTTGCTTGTAGTGCCAAATGTTACTGATTTCACTGCTGACAGAGCCAAATGTTACCGAGTGTATTTACTCGTGCTACCTTTGACCAGCACACAACATCGACCACAATATATTATAGATACTCGGAAATGCAGGTTTACATTGATCTCTTTATTACATGAATCAATAGAAATGCTCCACATAACAATGTACCAATGTTCCATAAGAATACAATGAACCAACTGACCCCCACTGTCTTCACTAGTCCTCACATAACAGAATGCACGTGTCCATAATTCCTATCCTCACATAACACAATACGTCTACCCCGTTCAGTAACCAACTTGATACTGCCTCTCTCTACCAGTCGCCTTCCCATCATCCCCTCGTATACGTAATCATTACCATTTGTTGCATCAGAACTATTAACTGCGCAGCGGCCTGGTGTTCGTTATCAGTCCAGCAACTGTTGCATCAGACTGTAATACGTTCTTACAATAGTATGGTAACTACCCTAGTTACATCTATATATACATTATATGTGTGTGGGGGTGTGGGGGGGGGGTGCAAATCGAAAGTTCGAGTGCGGGGGGGGGGGGGGGGGGGGGTGCAAATCGAAAATTAAAAGGTTGTCCCAAGGGGGCGCCAAATTGACAGTTTGTCCATGGGCACCGGGAAGGGTAGCTACGCCTATGATTCGGTAAATTACCTTTTTTAACAGGTTAGGCCACGCCGCCAGACCCCGGGGTTGGGGGGGGGGGGGGGAGGGGCAGGTTATTTAGGGGGCAAAAAAGTACTTTAACTTTATTAAACAAAACAAAAATAATATAACCCCGTATAATTGTTCCCTCTTTGATTTTGAAAAAATACGTTACAAAAATTTTAACCACGCATATTTCCGACTCAACATGAGTTTGGACATATTTTTGTCTTTTTTTTTTGTCTCCGCACAGTTATTCTATGCAATGGAATAGGTTAAATTAGTAAATTGTAAATTAGAAATAAGATTTATTTAAAATTGAACGGATTAAAGTACACACACAGACACACACACACACACATATATATATATATATATATATATATATATATATATATATATATATATATATATATATATATATATATATATATATATATACATATATAGGGCGGGTAGGGGGGGGGGGGGCTAAAAATGTTTTGCGAGGCAGCCTTTTTTTCCACTTTCACTACTGCTATGACTGCGGTCCGGCATTTTAAAGTCTACGATACTTCATTTTGTTATATTATTTTGTAAATATGTTTTATTAGATCAAGACAATATCACTGGCGTAAGTGATTGTTTTAAAAAGTAAAAAAAAAAATCTACATTCTTATTCCAGGTTTCATCAAACGAAATACAGTTATGCTGCTGGTGAACACACTTTTCTTTAACGGTACCTGGGAGTCTCAGTTCCCCAAATATAACACACGTTCTGAACGCTTCTACAAGCCTGGCGGTCTAGTCACTAAGGTAAACATTTTAAATGTTTGTCTTGGACACATGTTTTTATAAGCATGCTGGGTTATTCAGTGTTGTACGTACATAAGTACTGCATATACACATACACTCTTGAACAAATATTAGTGTGTTAGACATACAGAAACGTACCCACATATACATAAACGCAAATGCAAGCACACATGAAGGCTATACTAGAACATACACAGTTAGAAACTTTTATATACAATATAAGAATTGAGTATAAATTAAATGGGGACGAATTGCGCATAAGTCAAGTGTGTTTGTACAGTCTAAATTTTGTTTGGAAGAATTAAGTCTGAATTGGGTGTAGAAGAGTTTTGTCTAGCTTTACTGTGGAAGAATTTTGCCTAACTTTGCTGTGGTAGAATTGAGTATAAATTTAGTGTGGTAGAATTGAGTCTAAATTTAGTGGATTGAGTCTAAATTCAGTACTGTTTAATTTACTCTGTTTTCACTTGAGCACATGTCTGCTACTTAGGTCGACATGATGGAAGGCAACTTTGAGATCTTCTACAAGGAAGACGCGACAAACAAAGTTGATGTGGCCGAGCTGCCGTTTAAGGGAGAACGATTCAGTCTGTTCATTGTAATACCACACAAGGTGGATGGAATCAATGCTTTAGGTAACTCAATAGAAATAAACCGGCAGTGATCTCCCCTAAACTTTCTCGAACATTCTTATATAACTTGGAATATAGACATGATTTTTAATTACTTAAGCTTTTAAAAATAGAATAGAATCTCATAGAAAAAAGAATTGCGCACCAAGCGAACGCAAAACAAAATGTGCATAATAGTGCGCAATATTATTAGTACTTTATAAATTTACATGCGTTTTTTGAGAAATCGGAAATAGCGTAAATTAGTACTTCCGATAAACGGAAATTACTCAAAATTTGACAGAAGGTAGAGAATTAGATCTTTTACTTACACGTGAAATTTCATTAATCTATCTGAAATGGCACTCCAGTTATAGGCTTTTGAAAAATTCAAAGTAGGAAAAGTACCACTTCCGGTTATTGGAAATCGCTCAAAAGTTTATCAGAATCCATGATTTTGATAAAATACTTATACATGAAATTTTATCAACCTAGCTGTAACGGTAATCAAGTTATCGTGTTTACACACAGACAGACACACAGACATACGGACAAGATTGCAAAATTATGTTTTTCCGTATTAGTGAGGTGTAAAACGTCGAGATTTGTAAAAATCTCGATTTTTTTTCTGCACGATTACAAGACTTTCTCTACACTTCGTATATGCGAGAAAGTAAAAATATGCAAGGAAAATTTTGTCTTGCTCATAGTTTAAATGCTTCTGCCTCGCTTATAAGAAGTATTAAAGATTCAAACTGAAATAAAGCATTGGCAATGGAAGTTATCATAAGCCTCATTGGGTCATCGTTTACAAGGAAAGCAATCAGGGGTGCATACTTATATATATATATATATATATATATATATATATATATATATATATATATATATATATATGTATATATATATATATATATATATATATATATATATATTTAAATATGTGTATGGGTGTGTTTTTAAATATGTATGCTTATTTATAAATAATGAATATGTAGATTTATGTGTATATTTGTGTATACATTATACTATATTATAAGATATATTATATGTAAGCGTACAATATACCAATTGATTGTGTAAAAGTGTGTATCTTATATTGCTGCTGTTCACACATACATTCTCTATTTTCCTACAGAACAACTGCTGGCGACCCCTGGGAAGGTCGATGAACTCTTCACAGGCCTAGAACAAACTTTTATGTCTGTCAGCATTCCTAAATTTACCACAGAGACAGAAGTTGAGCTAAGCGAGACTTTGATAGACCTGGGTATGGTGAAAGCTTTTAATTCAGCGGACTTTTCTGGAATGGTGAAAGGTGGTAAATGTATTTCTGTTTATTAGGAACTTCATTTTCTCATCTAATCAAAGTTTCTTCCAGACTTTTATCTCCAGTAGGGGGGGGGGGGGATAGGAGGGCACTTGAATTTTAGGGCTGATGGGTGGGGGGCGGACTAATTGAGATCATGTATTTATACCCAATGCTTTACATCCTGTAGCTAATGTTGCTATCGACAAAGTGATTCACAAAGCGAAGATCGTTGTCATGGAAACGGGGACCGTCGCTGCCGCAGCTACCGTCGTTGCCCTGAAGGAAAGTGGGACCTCTCTCTTTTTCAAAGCGGACCATCCTTTCCTGTACTTCATCAGAGACAAAGTGACCGGACACATTTTCTTCCAAGGAAAATTCTCCGGCTAGTTAATTAAAAACGATGTTGTATTGAGAAAAATCCTAATAAAAGTTTAACTGAAAGTCAAGCCTCCTAAATTTATTTCTATGTCATTATGATTAGAGTGAAGGACTAAAAAGTGATGATACATATTGCTATAATGCTTTGTTCAGATACAAATTATATCCTACAGCAATGAGGGCTTTATGAGTTTTACCCACATAAAGAAGACTTGAAATATAATTGACAGAGCCTGAGAGCACAGGGAGTTCTTATGTTTGTTTAACTTATTTAATTCATCTAATTTTCTCGTATCAAATTGGATCTTAAACGACGTTAACCTACTTGACAAGTTTGGAATAAATTGGTTGGTAAAACCTCTTTCTTAATATTTGACTTAATACGAATTATCAACCACATGTTATCACGTTTTAGAGAAGATAGGTTTATTACATAGGTTGACATGTGTACTTGTATTATATTAATAGGTTTATTAATCAATACCATATAAGATAATATTTTAAAGAGATAAAATCATAATACACCACCATACATTCAATTTTTATTGTTTTCTACACTTGAAACATTTAAAAAAAGCTGCAAATTTAGAAATCATGGTCAAAGAAATGATACAATTAACAGTCCCGTTCAGATGGTGACAAAGTGAAACAATATAAAAATAGCCTGGCAACTTCGTGGAACTTTAAACTATTCAAAATTCGAAAAACCATATTAAGATTATATTTTTAGAAACGCGTACGATAAAAACACACTTTTTGTTTAATTTTTTTTCTGAAATTGTTCTTTGTGATTTTTATTTTTGTTGAGGAATTGTGCAATTTTATCACTGTTAATAAAGTGCCTAAACATGATTGACAGATAAACAACAGGTACAAGAAAACGTGAAAAAAATGCAATGAATTTTTTATATGATACGACGATATAAAGCTGAAACTATTAGTGGAGAGAAATGTTGTTAACAACATGATACATTATAATTCTGAAATGCATTTAAGAACAGGAAGTAGAATGACAACACACTTGATACGTTTAAGTTTGCAGAGATTATGAACGTTGAAGGGCAAATACACGCTAATAAACGTTCAATGGAAATTAAGGGTACTACGTAATAATAATAAGTTTCAGCTGTAGAATTTATTTGTGCGATAATAACTAAAAAAAAATCAGTATATTAAGACTGGACTGTTAGCATATCAAGAACATAAAAATAAATGTGTCTAAATAGGGCCGTGGTTGATAAAATAACATCAGAAACAGATACAGATCGGTTGATGTGTTCATACCTTTTATGTAGAGATACACCATGACAACCGCGTCGCCGAGCATACCACATTAGTAAGCTATTAAAAGCAGTAGTAATTCCGTTTTATAGAACATAATTAATTTTCTAGAGCATTTTTAATTTTTTACCGCTGCTGGCCTTAATGATAATAATAAACTTATATTAATTGTGTGTTCATCTAATATTTTAACCAATCTGAAATAAACCGGGAGTGATCTCCCCTAAACTTTCTCGAATATTCTTATATAAAACAACAGGGGATGGGAACTCGGGATATAGTTATGATTTTTAATCCATTTTAAATACATAAACTTTTAAAAATAAAATAGAATCTCATAGAAAAAAGTATTGCACACCAAGCGAACGCCGAATAAAGATGTTCATAATGGTGCGCAATATTATTATTAGTACTTAATAAATTTAGATGCGTTTAAGAGAAATCGGAAATAGCGTAAATTAGTACCTCCCGTCAACGGAAATTACTCAAAATTTAACAGAAGGTAGAGAATTAGATCTTTTACTTACATGTGAAATTTCATATATCTATCTGAAATAGTACTCAAGTTATAGGCTTTTGAAAAATTCAAAGTAGAAAAAGTACCACTTCCGGTTATCGGAAATCGCTCAAAAGTTGATACGGATCTACGATTTTGATAAAATACCTATATATGAAACTTCATCAACCTAGCTGTAACGGTACTCAAGTAATCGTGTTTACACACGCACACACAGACACACACACACAGACACACAGACACACGGACAAGATTGCAAAATTATGTTTTTCCGTATCAGTGAGGTGTAAAACGTCGAGATTTGTAAAAATCTCGATTTTTTTTTTGCACGACTACAATACTTTCTCTATACTACTTATATACGAAAAAGTAATAAAAAAAGTAAATTTATTTAGCTCATTCCAAAATATGCATAGGGAAAACATAGTTAAATCAATATATTTCGTTTTAGAATATGAAAAAGCTTATATATTACTAATAATATTACATATACATAGCAATGCATTTTGGTTACAGACAATTTGATTTCTATTTTAAAAGTTAATCTTTATTTAAGTTGTTTAAATTTTCTTGGTTTTCATTTCTAAAGACATAACATTGGTTGGTCAGTATAGTAGCTGTAAGGAAAACAAACAATTTACTTTGATCAATTATTAACAACATATTTAATTAAAATTATGTGATGATCATTAATTATTATAAATTGAGAATACCAAAATTTGAGCATGGAAATAACCATGATTCAATGGAGGTAAATAAATGAAAAATGAATATTCTACAAGAGGCGTAAACATTACAATTCTGGACAAAATGCGAGGAAAAATTATAATAAGACAAAAGCCACTAAAAAATTAATAAAAACAAAAGAACCATTTTCAAAACAAAGTTTTTTTTAAAATTCTCACCTTGCTTTTTTTGCTTGCGTAAATTACAATTGTTAAATATAAAACTATTTTTATGTATATGTATAATATATATATATATATATATATATATATATATATATATATATATATATATATATATATATATGTATATATATATATATATATATATATATATATATATATATATATATATATATATATATATATATATATATATATATATATATATACACATATATCCTAATATCCTAATATGTAAAAGCCCACGTGCGCACTTCTCTCTCTCTCTCTCTCTCTCTCTCTCTCTCTCTCTCTCTCTCTCTCTGTAACATTTCTGAGGCTGTGTTCAGTATGTTCATCAATATACAATATATAGTGAACTTTAAGATACGGACTTTTGTTCAAAATAATATCTTGGATGTTTTAAATTTATAAACACAATTTTATGTAAAGAAAGAAAATAAAAAAAGGCATATTAGAATCTAGAAACACAGTTTTAATTATGCAACCGGAAATGTCTTTATTGTAATGGGAAAAGCGCAAATTACAATGTCAGATGTTTTAACTACGGAAAGAGCACAAAACTAATGGCGTCATATTCCAATTTTAAACTATTTCATTAAGATTTTATTTAGATCTTTGGATCTACTAATCATGACGTTCGCTATGAAATAAATGCAATTTCTCAAACAAATGCAAACTACCATAAAAACATAAATACAATTGAACATCAGTGTTTTTAAAGGAATCATTTACGTCTTTATCAGTGTATTAGTTTAATATGGTGGTGTGATTTAATACTGAATTATGTGTAAAATTTGTTTTTCCTCATACGTATTGATAGCCTATTTTATTTTAAATTTGTTGGATTTTTAGTTATTTAGTTATTTATTTCCTTTGTCACTAATATCGTTGAACATGTAGTAAAGCATTTTGACAGCTAAAATATAACTATCTATGTCTAAGTCTAAGTCTAAGTCTAAGTCTAAGTCTAAGTCTGAGTCTGAGTCTGAGTCTGAGTCTGTGTCCTTGTCTTTGTCCTTGTCCTTGTCCGTATCCGTATCCACGTCCACGTCCACGTCCACGTCCACGTCCACGTCCACGTCCACGTCCACGTCCACGTCTAAGTCCACGTCTATGTCTATGTCTATGTCTATGTCTATGTCTATGTCTATGTCTATGTCTATGTCTATGTCTATGTCTATGTCTATGTCTATGTCTATGTCTATGTCTATGTCTATGTCTATGTCTATGTCTATGTCTATGTCTATGTCTATGTCTATGTCTATGTCTATGTCTATGTCTATGTCTATGTCTATGTCTATGTCTATGTCTATGTCTATGTCTATGTCTATGTCTATGTCTATGTCTATGTCTATGTCTATGTCTATGTCTATGTCTATGTCTATGTCTATGTCTATGTCTATGTCTATGTCTATGTCTATGTCTATGTCTATGTCTATGTCTATGTCTATGTCTATGTCTATGTCTATGTCTATGTCTATGTCTATGTCTATGTCTATGTCTATGTCTATGTCTATGTCTATGTCTATGTCTATGTCTATGTCTATGTCTATGTCTATGTCTATGTCTATGTCTATGTCTATGTCTATGTCTATGTCTATGTCTATGTCTATGTCTATGTCTATGTCTATGTCTATGTCTATGTCTATGTCTATGTCTATGTCTATGTCTATGTCTATGTCTATGTCTATGTCTATGTCTATGTCTATGTCTATGTCTATGTCTATGTCTATGTCTATGTCTCTATATATATATATACATTTATTCATTAGTCACGTAAATAAAAAAATCGACTGAGGCATTAATTTGGTTAATTGCATATGAAAAAATACAAATTAATATATCATAATGAAGTGATACCCCTGCCATTTTGTGAAAAGCCTGTATCATTTTTATTGGAAAAATGACAACTGCAAAAGTTACACACGCCATCAGAACAAGCCTCGCGACTTTTAGATCCTTTATTTTTTTCGCTTTCAACGAAGGTATAGAGTTTTTATTTAAGTTTCGTGACACAATAAATATTTTTAACATAATCATAACTGTACAAAACACCAAAATACTAAGAGGGACATATGTTGTTATTATAAATATATCTAAACTATATTTATATAAAACAAAGTTGAATTCATTTATATTACTAAACACTTTCCTTTCATTGAATGCCATTGCATATTTAACGAAATATAAAACGTAGTTAGTTTCACACAAAATTGAGATCGCAGAATAAATAAAAATGAAAATTAAAGTACATTTAATTTTTCTTGCGGTGAAACGCTTGGATACACTGAAAGGTAGGTAGAAAACAGCAAATCTTTCAACGGTGATCAAAGCAACTTGGTGAAAACTTGCTAGAATG